GACGGCTCCTCCTCCCCGCCCTCGAGCAGCCCCTCCTGTGCAGTTTCAACGCGCAGTCCTTGCCTTGGAACCACACGCCCGCTCTCCCGGGTCGCAGCCAGACAAAGGCAGGCCCCCGCAAATCCGTGGCCGCCCCGCCCCCCCCCCCCCCCCCCGCCCCCCCGCCACTTACTGAAAATGATAGCGAGCCCGATCAGGAAGGCCGCCACAGCGAAGACGAGACCTCCGTGGCGGACGGTCTCGTAATCTGGAGAGAGAAGAAGGAGCGCTTAGCGCAGCCTGCGGGCGGGAGAGAGACGGGGCGGCCACGGATTTGCGGGGGCCTGCCTTTGTCTGGCTGCGACCCGGGAGAGCGGGCGTGTGGTTCCAAGGCAAGGACTGCGCGTTGAAACTGCACAGGAGGGGCTGCTCGAGGGCGGGGAGGAGGAGCCGTCCCTCCTGAATTCCCCGGCTTGTTACTTACCAGACGGGCTGTAAATCAAGCGGGGCGGGGGCGGGGGCTGGGGCTCGGATCAGGGCGGCAAGGGTAGGCGAGGCTCCTCGAGAGCTAGAGGAGGGTCGCAAAAGCCTTTCCTATCCCCGGAGAGCACGGCTGCTTTCCGACTTCGCTTCCTCTGGCCCGGAAAACGGGGGCGCTCGTCATTTTTAATTGTTTTTTTTAATTGTGTCGGAGTGTGTTTCCATATTTATCGATCTGTCTTATTTAAAAATGTTTTTATTGTGTTTTGCTCAGAAGGGAAGCGATATAAAAATGACATTAACATTTTGGAGAGGGAAAAGTCTTTGTTGTGCTCGAGGTCTCCTCTCAATTCCCTTCTTATTATTTACAGTGTTATCCATCAGAAGTCTTTTGCACCTGGCTTGGCATTAACGGACAGGTTGCCTTCCCTTTCTCTGGAGCCCCTGTGTGGGCAGCAGAGGGGGCAGCCAACTGCCTGCCCAGTCCCCGCCTGGGGTCAGCCCCTTCACCACGTCTTACCGTAAGAAAATACGTCCTTCTCCTTCTCCGGCAAACTTTCTGGTGGGAACGGGAGAGAAAAGAAGCAAAATCAGGGGCCAGGCAGCCACGGGGCTGGGCTTCCGAAGATGGGACAGCTGCGATCAGGGGGCCCGGAGCCCTTCGTGTTTGGCAACCCAAACTTTCCGGCCTGGCCTGTTCATGGAACGACTGCGAAATTAACTGCCTCCTGTCCTGCCAAACCCCCCACGGAGGAGCCCCAGCCAAGAAAAGATGCAGCAGCGCAGAGCTGCTCGGGGAGGCGGGGAGTGGCAGGAGCCACCTGGTGGGCCCTCTGCATGAGGCACCCTTTGTGTGTGCAAGTACAAGGAGAAACCCACTTGCCACGTCGGTGGGGGTGAAAGGAGCTGGTCCCATCGTGCCACTGTCCCTCCAGGCTGCTCGGATCTCGCTGCAGAAAGAGCTGGAGAGCAAATGTGCAACACAACAAATAAAGAGGGCCTGCACCACCCAGAGCAGGGGCCCCCTCCCACGACTGATGGGGACGTCCCTTCTGGGTTTTTCCAGCTCTCTAACACCCGCCCGCCCCCTGCCCCCGCCTCTGGCCCTGGAATAGTGCCTCCAGCGAGCATAATCTGCCCAGGGTGGGGAACCCAGAGAAAAGGCAGCCTTTTCAAACACTCCTCTGTTGACGCCAGAGTCAGATCACCCCTCGACGTGGAGCTCCGCTTGGCCAGCTCAGCCCTCCGAGTGGGCTGGTTTTCAAAGGAGTCATGAGGTGGAGTTTGCTGTCTTCTCTGACCTTTGCCATTCAGCTGAATAATGTGGTGATTTTATGCTGGAGGAAATGGGAAGGGGGGCTGGTGGAGAGGGTGGTTTCTCTCTGGCTGTGAAATGGAAAAAAGCCCCAAGCAGGGCAACTTTGAAAAAGAAGGCCTAGCCTAGCTGGGAGGGGCGCGAACCACCTGCCCTTCTCCAGCCTGCCTGGCAGCTGGCCAGAGGGCCTCAGCTCGGCTCAGCTCTGCTCTGCATAAGGTGCACAGCTAGAGCAGCACAGCGGAATGGGGAGCAGGGAGGACAAACACCTAATTAAACATTAACGGGCTGCCTGTAATGTTTATCCCAGTCACAAGGCAAAGCGTGGGGGAGGCTCCCCTCCCCTCCTTTGGAAGATCTCAGTCTCCTTGAAAACAAGGCACTGGGCCGAGGCCTGGACCACCTGAGTGCCCAGGAACACTGTCCCATCTCTGCTCTGCTCCATCGTGTTGCCACTCGCCGTGGGGTGCAAGAGCTGGCTGTCCCCAACATCGGTGCTGTGGCTAAGGGCTTAGAGGCTCAGCTGCAGTAGCAAGCAAATGCCCCAACCAGAGCAAGATGATCTGCTGTTGACTCCTTGCAGGTGAAGCCAGTGCTGGCACAGAGAACCTTGATGGGTTTGTTCACAGACTGCTCCTATCAAGAGGTAAAGGATCCAATGTTGGGAAGAGAAGCACGCTAGCCCCTTTTTTTCCTGTTCCCACCCGCTCCTGAATGAGCAGAGGACTAACTGGTGGCCTTGGGGCACAGATTATTTGGATGGAGGCTGATCTCCATCTCACAGAGAAAGACTGGGAGTGCTAAAGCCAACCCTCTTTTGGGGAGCAGCCATCTAAGCCTTCTCCCCACCCTCCAGCAGTATCACACTGAGGATGTGAGTGGAAAGGCCTGGATCTGGACCATAAGTAGTTCTAGCCTCCCTATCAGTGAAGCACATGAGGTCCCCCAAAGCTTCAGAGCCAAGAGGCTGGAGGGCTGCTCCCCCCCAAACCAGAAGTGCCCTTTCTCTCACTAGCCTGGAGAAGTAGCGAGTGAGGTGGCAGGAGCGAAAGGACTGCAGAGTTCATGTTGGCCATTGCACTCCCCCTGGAGCTTCCCTCTTGGCCCTTTGCTGGTGGAACAAGGAAGCCTTTGGACTGAGGTCCTGGCTGGGTCCCCCCTTCTGATGGCTCTTCTGGAGTCACTGCTAGACAGGTCCTGCTTGCTTATGGCTTTACATGTTTGTTGTATCAGTAAAGAAAGGTTTTAAAACAATCAGCTGTAAACCTGTGGGATACTGGGGTGGATACCGTGTGACTTGCAAACAATCTTTCCCTAGCAACCAAATCTTATGGTTTTTAAAGTTCACCAACATGTTTATTTTTCCATCAATTGTGATCCCCTAAAACATCTGCAATAATCCATCCAAGTCTTTAAGGCGCCAGCAAATGTGGTTTGCTATAATACCACCACCCTGGTTGCTGCTCATTACAGGGAGACCCCAAAAGCAGACTAAAGCAGCCCCAGTTTGCACCGTGGTGCTGAGTCCAAGGGTTTCCCAGAGGTCAGCAAGGCCGGCAAAACACCAAGCACCAGAAACGCGCTAAGATGGCTCCCCAGCCATCAACACACTGACTAGAATGACATCCTTGAGGTCATTCATTGGCCGCCCACATGGGGTTCCAGTGGTGGCTGTGGAGCACGACGCACGGGAGACCCCATAGCCCCAGGAAGGAGCGACTGCAGCCCGCCTCTTTTCAGCAGCGCCACCTGATTAGCACCGTTTTCTGCTGCTAGAAGACAGGATGCTCCACCACCCCAATCCCCACAAAGCTTTGCATTTTGTCCAGCTCTTGCGGGACATTGTCTCCTATGGCTGAGTGACGGGGGCAGCCTCAGGAGGTGCCTATGAGCAAGGTTGCAGAATCTTCCAAGTCAGCCAGACACAAACTGCTGCGTCTTCCTGCATTTTGTGACCTGGCAAGGCCCACGCTTCCAGGCCCCGCGAGCCCTGCCCACCAAATCCTGTGCTGCTGCAGTTTGGCTATAACCTCTGGCTGGTTTGGGTTCAATGCATGTTTGCGCAGGGAGCCCAGCAATCTGGCAGAATTCCAGCTGCGTGCTGTTGTGACTGCAATGGAGGCCAGTCTGCCTGCCTGGCATCTCCTTCAGAGCTTGGCCTTCGCTGCCAATCGCCAGCACACGCTGCTGCTGTTTCCAGCCAGCCTCATGGTCATCTCAGGATGGCACGAGGCTCAAGTCTGCCACCCTACCAGCCATATACCCTCCGGCAGAGCGAGGCCCCTTGGCATGAAGGCTCAGCACAGCTCAAGCGGGTATTCACACATGCAGGGAGGCGACCAAGCTAGGGCTCCTTGACAAGGCCATGGGGAGGCTTCAAACTTGATCTAGTTATCAGGAAACAGGCAGAGCTGCATAACTATGCGCCAAGTCTTCTGAGGGAGAGTAGCGCTGCTCCCAAGGGCTGCAAACGGAAGACTGATTTCACTCAACAGGCTGAACCATGGTTTATCCTGGTTAACCAAATAAACCATGGTCAGCTTGGTTCACATAACTTGCTATGCCAAAACCAAACCAATTACATTCGTTATGTGAACTAAGATGGTCATTGCTGAGAAGAAACCGCTACCCACATCCAGGACACCCAGCCAACCAAGCACACCTCTTAGAAAGACTCTGCCCAGCCAAGTTTCTCCTTCGCTGGCAGGAAAAAGGACTCTGCCCTGCCTTGCTGAGCACTGGGCTAAAGGGAAGTGCAGGAGGCATGAGTGACTGTGGTTGGCATCTCTGGTCCTGGACCCACTCCTAAGGGCCCATCATGCACTGCAGGAGGACACAGAGGCACTGAAATAGAAACAACATTTTATTTGATGCCTCTTGAGCTTGGGACACAGCACAAACATGTGGGACTCCTTTATCACAGCCACACAGCAGGAGAGCCTACACCAGGGGAATGCGCAACCAGGGTTTTGGCTTTTGGAATTACAACAGTTGTACAGGGGTGTTTTAAATGGTTCTTACCTACTGCACACTATAGCCACAACAGAGTCACGTGGCAACACAAGTTGTGGTGAACACAGCAAAGACAAGGGAGGGGAGGGGAGGGGTTGGCTTCTCCTCTGCTCTTCAGAACTGATGGCATCAGACCAGGTGACTGCAGAGGATGGGAAGTAACCAGGGAAGCCTTCTGGACTGGGGAGATTTTTAGCGCTGGGGAACAATGCACGAAGGCCAGGGCAAGCCCACTGGCCAAGTCCCACCCTCATCTGGAAGAGGTGACCTGTCCCCTTCCATCAGGATGCAACTGGCTTCTGCTCATCTCTGGGCTTCCAATGAAGGCCGTCTTGGGATTAAGCGAGTTTCTCATCTGTTGCCAGTTCTGCTAAGCGCTTCGGAACAAGAATCCAAGGTCATCCAAACTCTTACAGGGTATTGTGCTGCGACGTGCAGGGGTGTAAACTTGACACACCCAACACCCCTAACCAGATCAAGTCAATGTTAGCAAGAATAACCCCACCCACCCCACCCCACGGCAGCCTTGCAGAGAATTCCAAACGCGTGGCCCCACCAGCAGATCTCCACACCAGAGAACGAAGGTGCGCTGGCAGACCACCCTGCAGAGCTGCTGGCATCCTGGGGAGCCAGTTGAGGACTTCTGAGAAGACCACCCTCCCATCCCAACTCCTTTTCAGGCCCTTCCGTCTGTCTGGCATCAGAGACATGCGGGGGGGCGGGGTCCTTTATGGCCTTGCTGACAAGCAGCTACTGGAGGGACTCCACATCTACCACGTGGGAAGGGAAGAGGCAGCGGGCATGGGAAGGGACACCACGTGCTGTCAAGGCTGAACCCCACTAAGGTCCTGAACTCTATTTGCTCTCTGTCTCAGCCCAGTTCCTCCCTTCAGTCTTTACCCTACAAAGAGCTCCAATCCTCCCCTTCCCTTGAAGAGACATTTCAGCACAGGCGGGCAGCCACAGCCTTTGTGCACACCAAGGCAGGAGCAGCCAGACCTTCTCCTGGGAGGGTCAGAATGTCAAACCAGCATAGGAGAGAGGTGGGGCGCAGAGAACACAGTTGCACGACGACATCAAGGCAACAGCCATGATAATGACAGATGAACATTATGCAATCAGACAAGGGGGTGGACTTGGTGGGGAATAGTTAAGCGGAGGGCTGATTTTCCAGGGCACAGGCCAACATGGACACCAAAATGTCAATATTCCCTTAGAGGACCAGGGGCCATCACCTCCATGTCCCTTCATGTTGTTTGCACTCGAGATCTACTTGTCCAGCATCAGTTCTCCTTTGCTGAAGAAGAGAAGGAGAGACAAAGAGGGTTGCAAAACAGAAAGACTATCTGCAGCACACAAGGATGCACCTGGCTTTAAAAAGGATAATATTCACAAAGGCTTGTCCAACTGTAGCCACTCTTGAGAGACAGCAAAAATAATTTTTCATGCAAATGTCCCAGAAAGTCCAGGGCCAGAAACTAGGCCTCTTTTTCTTTGTCCACCCAGGGTCCTCAGTCAGCTACATCCTCTCTCCTCCCCAGTTCAGTCCCTGAATGTTCAGTTTGGGAAGAACTGCCTCTTTCTGCCATTCAAAGCCCCAAGAACCCAAATTCTGCACTCAGAAGACCCATAGGTTTCTCCTTGACCTTGAGGAAGGGCATTAAGTACCATGCTGCGGAATCCAGCCTTTACTGACTCCCTGCACGTCCAGCCCAGGGTCTTCTCAAAGTCGCCGTGGATAGAGGAGCACCCTCCTTGGAGAGATGTGTCCGGAGCCCAAAGCCGAGCCCTTCCCACCTCTCATTTTCACCAGGGACAGAGCCCCATGGCCCCAGGAGGCAGGCTCTTCCACCCACTGGTTCTCATCCTACCCTCTTCCCTGTCCCCGCTTCACCTTCTCTTCATCAGGCTAAGCATATCCAGGTCTTTAAACCATTGCTTTGTAACACTTAAGCTCTACACTCCCCACCATCTTTGCTCTTCAGCATACCAGTTCCTCAGCATCCCTCCTGTACTGTGACAGCCAGAACTGGACAGAGCATTCCAGGTGTGCAAAGAGCGGAGGGATCCTGGCTTCGCTGAGTCACCCCGCTCACTTGCGCAGAGGAGGCCTCTCCCTGAGGCGGGGAATGCGGGAAAGTCCTGGGACTGCTTCTCCTGTGCTCTGCTAACCAAAATGGGGCGGGGCGGGCCGGGGCGGGGCAGCCCCT